TACATACTAAGATATCTAATATGGAAATCTACTGTAACTGTGATTTGATTTAAACAAATGTATGCGACAGGATCTATGGATATCTATTTTTATGGCAAAATACTATCCAAGTTTTAGCACATTTAGAAATGAATGGTTACCTACCTTGAAACTGTATATTTTGGCAGTTTTGGGAAGAGGTTTTGCAGCTGTATATTTTCCCTCTTCCATTTTGTGAATGCTGTTCCAGTGGAGCACTGATGAGCAAACTAACAAAATAAATCCAGTCAATCATGTAAGTCTAGAAAGCAAACTCTAATTAAATAAACTCCATATGTCCATATAGCATAACAGAGATGGTAAATAAATATAAAAAGAAATAGCAGTAATGTTAAACATGCAGCTGTAAACCCGCTTTCAACATAACTATGCATGTCCTGACTTACTCTGATTGTCTTTGCACCACCTGGTAGCCAAAACCAGCAGCAGAGTTACTCAGGGTCTTCCAAGCCACGGGATCAATATTGAAACCAAGTGCAGCATTTAACACTGAGAATTAAAGAAGGAAGAGCATCAATAACATTTTTAGAGCCACTGTAAAGGATGATAATGTCATTATAGCATCTCTAATTATAATTGTTTATATGCAGTATAAGAGTAAGAAGCAACTAATTCAGTCGATGAGTTGGTTTAATTCTTTTCTTAACTGCAGATTTATTTCATTAACACTAGGAAGCGCCAAAGTCACATATCAATACAGAAACTTAAACATTTTCTGATATGATTACTGTACAGTGAAAATCTCATACCACTGCAACCATGCATAACAAAGTCTTTGTTCAGTATCAGTTATTTATTTCTGTTAAACAAAGTCTTCCTTTTTTTAGATGTTAAAAGCAGTCAGTATGACACTGTATAATGCTAACTTGCATGCAGCAGTATTCAACAACAACAGCAGCAGCTTCATGATTTTGTAGTTTCCAGAATCTAAAAATATTTAATATTTATACCTCATCAGCATGAGACTCAACTTCTGTTTCTTGTTATGGCCTTAGAAGAGTTAAATAAAAGACTCTCATAGGATCCCCTCAGCATGTATTCACTCTTGCATATGCTATTTACATTAAATATAAAATATAACCACAGTAGGAAAGTTGGGTGCAGTGTCAGAATACCATAGAGTAAGTAAGCCTCACATTTTCTGTAGACCTCAACAAAACAGACAGGTCTATATAATGACTTCATAACTTCATACAATGATTATTTTGGATTATTTCAGCTTGTTTTAATCAAGTTTAATCATTTATTAATAATCAAGAATTTATTTTTTTATAATGATGACTTATGAAATACTTTTTCACTCAGTACACTTCTATAACAGAGAAACATCTTGGTAATGAAGCTATTTTTACAGTCAGAAGTTACACATACAGTCACTGAGCTTATGGTAGTTTGGTTCACAGGGGATAAAATATAAGGAAATGAGCTCTACAAAAGTATTTCAAAAAATATAGGTACAGGTTCACTAACTAACAATTAATGTTAGATCTTAACCCTTTCACGCATAGTGGATTTCAATACACTGGACAGCTATTCAAAGGCTGTTTTCTTGTATTTGTGTCAGTGTTGATGGTTTACTTGCACATAAACCACTCTACTGGACACTGATGTGTCACTCCATACACATCAGTTGCTCATCTAAGTGAACATGTAAAAACCTCTTTGAAAAATACATGTTTAAAAAATGAAGTTCAAAAATCTTTTTTTTCATGCCTAAAGATAAAAATAATTTAAAAACAATCCTGATTAAAGTTGTCATGATTCATGCATGAAAAGGTTAATACTACTCATTGTACTTTTTTTAAATTTAAAATGTGTCTCTGCTATATTTACCATTAAAATAGCAGTCATATTTCTACTGTTTGCAGACATTGATAATTGATAATAATTGAGAATAAATCTGAAGGCACCAGTTTGTCTTACCTGACAAGAATAATGTAGCACTGATTATCCAGTCCATTTTGTCACTCCCAAGGAACGAGGGTAATGATAGATGAACGTGAACCTACTTCTGCTGATAGTGTGAGCTGAAATCAAAAATGCAGAACTCATAAAGCAACCTCTCAAAGCTAAGACAGTCAGTTAGAGGAACTCTTATGTAGGAGTTGCTACAGTATTAATAACACTGTGTCTTTGATGCTACACAACACTGTGGTGGTGTCGTTTACATTTTATCTAAAAAATCATCAACTTGGTTTTAATTAAACAATAAAAACAGATATAATAAACAAGATTGGAAGTTTATTACTTTTGGAGCCACAAGATGAAATTACTGTAATCATGAATAATAATTAGAATAATCAATAGCCAAAAAAAACCCCACATTTGACCAGATTACAATATCTTTCCAACTGACCATAGTATGATTAAAAAAGCCTCTTCTTGTAAAATAAATTAAGAAAAATGAATTACAGCACCTCCAAAATATGAAGCCATGACTTTCAGTCAGAAAGACTTGCCCCCTCCTACTTGAAGGAGGTAAGGGTATCATTGCCACTGGAACTGGGAAGTGTTGGCGAGCAATATTGAATTTGGTATGGTTGATATGGTTGATTTTGGTATCGATCAAATACTAAGTAAATACAGGTTCAGTAGTGCATATATAAAGTACCATTAACAATATTTTTTAAACGTAACTATAGGTAAGAACATTGTGACATGATTTATGAGGTGAATCATTATCAGAAAACATCACAATGTCCCATTGTTTTTCTTTGAAGTCTTTTTTTCTATTTTTTTTCTCTTTCTAATTTAAAGCTAAGTTAAGTTTTGAATATTAATCAAACAAGTTAAGCATAACTGTAATGGGGACGGCTTTAAGACCCAGGGGACCCAAGAGAGGATATAAAAGAGGAAGTAGCAGCACTGACAAGTGGCTGTGAAAAATGGTTAATGGAGAAGTTGAAGAGCCTGAGAAGTTTCCATTGTCTGCTACACAAACTGTCATTGTAAATCTCTGCAGAGGTTCAAAGTACAGGCTGTTTTTCTTTTAGTGTTTTTTTTTTTAAAGTTTGCTGAAATGTATTTGATTTTTATTGTATTTCATCTTTTTAGTATTGATTTTAGAAGACCACATTCAAGTTGTGCAGCAAACATAATAGTCAGCTGGAGAGTTGGGCTGGAGACAGGTGAGGAGTGTTAAGCTCCACAGCCTGGTTCTGAACTAGCCTTTCCTCGTTAGCGAGTAAAAGACTGGTTGAAGATGTTCTGTCTTGTTTTCGTTCTTCATGAGGAATAAGTCTCTAAACTAGCAGGGTCTGTGGAAGCACAGACTCAACAACAACTACTCTTTGAAAATGTTTTAGACAAAAGGGAATTGGAGATTAACTATACAGCTGGCTCAAGTGACTGTATTTTCAGTAATAGTACTGCCAGTCCAAGTGGTATGTACCTCATTAACAGGGATAGACTGATCCCATACATTTACACATATACGTCAACAGAACACACACTGTGTTCTGTTGATCTTATGTGCTGCACAATAATGTTTAATATTTAGTATTTACTGTCATATTCCCATATATCATTGTGATGTTGTTTATTCTATTACTCTTGTTCTCTTCTGCTTGTTTTCTTTTTTTTTTCTCAGCAGGTGATCCAGGTGATTGATATATGCATTTTTTTTCTCTGCTCATTCTGTTGGTTTTTGTTTTTTGCCCTTCTCCCCCGTCCCTCTTCTCAGCTGTTTCTCTTTCCCTCTTTCTTTCTCCCCTTCTTTCCCCCAGTCAAGTCTGTCCCGCATTCAGTAAGTGAAAATAAAATAAACAATAAAAGGTGAATCAAATGGACCATTACGGCAAGGCTGGGATGGTCAATTTGGTAAAGTAAATCCGTTGGGCATCTTTGTTTGCCTTTAGACAACAATTCTGATGGCAAAAGAGCCAAACGGGACAGGCGCAAAAAAAAAAAAAAAATCCCTTATTAAAGAAATTGGGAAATTTTTTAACAAAAACATTAAAATTCATAGGTGGGCTAATAATTTTGTTTTCAACTGTATTTCATTTTCTCCTCCCCCCTTTTTCTCCACCAAATGTGGATGAAAATAACTGATATGCTAAAGGCATGAAGAATAGGGAAGTTCTTCCATTTCCCACTCTTACAGAAATGCTTGCTCATAGGGGGTAAACTGATTGTTGTGGTTTTCTCTGTATTATTGTGGGGTCCTTACTTTACAATATCATGTTGTTTTGAATTCATGCTATATAAATAAAATTTAAATGAATTTATATGCATCAATTCTTTTAAAACTTTCTCTTTTGCAGTCCGTTGACTGACTAAAATGTGCAGTGATGTTTCTGCATAGTAATCTTGAGAGACAGACGTAAGCTGTAAAAGGTTGACTCTAAGTGGATTTCCTGGACCTACTGCAGAAGTTATCAGTGAGGTACAGTACAAAGACAATGTTAAGAAGCACTAACTTCAAGCTTTGGTTTATGGATGCACAGTCTGGAAATTAAAAAGCCTCTCATCAGTGGATGGAATACAGAACAAAGAGACACCTACCTGGAGTGCATCAGTGTGCCAAGGTAACTTCCACTTCAGGGACTACCTTATACTTGTCCTCGCTGGATGAATCAATATTTCTATTCAGTGGCCGTGTCAGTACTGACATACTGACTTTACCTGACTCTGAGATTTCCATCTTAAGGACATTTTGGCCAATATTCAGTCACTTTTGATTTGATACACAGCCTGACACATAATTGAGGTGCCGTATTTACTTGCATACTTCCTGCTTATATCCAAGGATTCACTGACGAGTACGCAGTGAGAATGTTATACACTCACAAAACACAAATGTCTGTGACATACGAGGGCATCAGGACCTAAATGTATTTGCATATATTATAATGCTGACCAATGACTGGAGAAAACACCGACGACGAGGCTGCGGTCACGGACAAACTTGCATGTGTCTGTTTGGGAATGGCAGATGCTGAGAGGTCCAGCGTTTACATTACCGACTATTTCAAAGTGACAGCCTGAGGTCCTTCTTACCACCATTTCTGCCTGCACACAGCCCTCACATGACAGGCCCAGTCCTCCTTACCCTTTTTAATCAAGTTTATTAAATTCTGCCATTTGATCCAACTGCAGTTGGAGAGGAGTGGCTATGGACAAACCAGAAAAGCTCAAAGGCGGGGCACAGATAAGCGCAGAGAAAAAAGGCAAAAAAAAAACCCTAAAAAAGCCTTCAAGTGGACACAGGAAAATGCAAAAAACTTACCAATATGTTTTCCACCACAAGTTGTACTGCTGCAGCAGCTGGTGAAGGATCCGAGGAGGAGGCAGAATTAGTCCTCCACGACACCAAGTAATGTAATGTAATTTTAATTGTAACTGTACTATTTGTTCCTTGTTCTTCCCGCATTGCAGTTTTATTGTGAAGCACTTTGATGTACACTAGTCTTTTAAATGTGCTATAGAAATAAATTTTGACTTGACTTAAAATTTTAGCTTTAACCTTCCGAGCACTACAGACACGGACCCCTCCCTACATTGCTGATTTGATTCATATACATACCCTTCTCTTCACCTGAGGTCATCGAATCAAAACCTTTTAGTGGTCCCCCATATTCACTTCAGAACTCAAGCGGACTGATCTTTCCAAGCTGTTGTAACCAGACTGTTGAATGCACTTCTTCTATTTCTATGGTGTCTGGACTCGGTGGAGACCTTTAAAAATGTCTTTAGCTGTTTTTTATTTCAAAATGCTTTTAATTAGACCAAGGTTTTTATGATGTATTTGTAACTGTGCTGTGTTTTGTTATCTTTCTTGTGAAGCACTTTGTGACATGTCTGTGAAAAGTGCTATATAAACTTTTACTTCACTTATTGCTTTTCAGTCTGTGGCACCAACACTTTGGAACGGCCTCCCACTACAATTACAGTTAGCTGACTCTGTGGACTCTTTTAAAAACCAGCTTGGCTGGTTAATGTGAAAAAGGAAAAATATGTCTGACACTAAGATCTTCCTTTTTTTTTAACCATCTCACATTAACATGACTGCAGCCATTACCTAAGTATATGAATGAAACTGAGCTTATAGCCAGATGTTAGTGAATGGTTTTAGTTTCGCATTCATTTAGAGAAAGTCCTATGTAGGATGAGCTACAATGCTGACACCACTGTCTGTTCAGAAAAGCATCCTCCTTACAAGAAACCTAAAAATAAAAAGGTTAATTCCTCTTTTTTGCCTGAATTCTTCTGCACTTCCATCCAGTTCTTGTTAGTCAAAAATTCTGATATATTTCCAGTTTTTATGATGCATGCAGAATAAGTTGGATCCGATATGTGGCTACTTCTACTATTGTCTATGGCTGAAAAGTAGATGTTCTGTGAATTTACCTAATGTGCATGTGTAGCCAAAAGTAGAACTTACTTAACATATTTCCATGACTAGCTCACTGCAATTTAGGATTAAAAAAACAAACAAAAAATTGTTTTGCTATTATTTTGAGCATCTAAAAATAATTTCTATACTCTCCTTGACTAGATTACCAACAAGGTGGTTGTACTTCTTTTCACACCTTGTGGCATCTGTGTATGCTTGTTAGTTTAGACTAGAAATGCTTGTCAGCGATTCATTTTACAGTAAATCAGACTCCTCTTCTGTCAGTATCCAGTGAGAAAATGCAGTTTTGTCAGCAACTTAACACCGAATAATCTGACCACATCCGAGGTGCCAAGTTTCATATCAGTTTTTTCTTGTCGTTTTTTAGTTATTTTTTTTAAGTCTGTGTTTTCTTATGAGCTGTCTGATTAAGAGAAATTGAAACTCATGCATAGTGTAGTAAACCTGACTCTGTGAATGTATAATCTTTGCCAAGGTTTCTGGTTGACCCAGTTTAATCAACACAATGACTCATAAATGTAAAATGGTCTCGATACCTTGGAATGAAAGCACCAACAATTTCCAATGAAGACTGGATGACATTTTCTCCTTGCT